ATGGGACCCCTTGGGGATGTGTTCGGCTGTTCGGGCCAAAGGCGGACCCCCCCCCCAAAAAAAAAAAAAACTAAACTAAAAACCAAAACAATATGAAAAAAATATGTATTATGAAGAAAAATAAATAAAACAAGATTTGCTAGAGCATTACATCCAAATTCCTTACCAAATCTGAAATAAAAATCAAATACGGAGAACAAATACTAATAATAAAATTTATAAAATAACAAAAAATAAAAAGAGAATTAAATTTAGTGAGTGCGCGAGCACGTTTTCGACACCGCCATCTTTGGCGATTTTTTTTTTTTTTTTGGCTACTAATAATAAAATTTATAAAAATAAAAAGAGAATTAAATTTAGTGGGTGTTTTCGACACTGCCATCTTTGGCGATTTTTAAAAAGTAAAAAGTGGAAAACACCGTGGCCAAGCACTTTTTGACCCTGCCATCTTTGGCGATTTTTTGTTCTTATTTGGCTCAGCCAAATGACGTCAAAAGTTTTAGGCGTGTACCTCACATCATAAACAACTGCATATATATCGTCACAAATAGAACTGCCCGGTAAACCGTAGGCAGAGATAGAAAAGAGGACAACAAACGAGGGGCTGTGATAAACTGTTTCGTCGGAGTTTCACCGACTCAACTGTATATATATCGACTCAACTGTATATATATATATATATATATATATATATATATATAGGCCCAAGGATATTTTTTTGCGGGGGCCGAACGTCGTCGGGTTTGGACCCCGTACAGGATCCCGAACGCCCGTACGTACGGATGTCGACCCGGGGCCCTGCGTCCGTACGGGCTGGTGACCCTGGATGCAACAAAATTGCCAAAAATTTCTACAAATATTTTTTCCCTCCCAATGTAAAGATGACCCGATCCAACAAAGGATGATACATATATATTATTTTATGTTCCCTCTATAGAAATCACTCACAAAATAACAAAACAATGTGATGGAAATGGAGGAAGAAAAAACCCAGGTATTGATGAAATCCTAAAGGAATTATGAGAAATAATATGAGATTTTCTCTTTGAGGACCTCATGGACGTTTACGAAGCTGTACGGACATCTGGTAGAATGGGTGAGGTGGTTGGATAATAAATTTTAACTGTACAATATAAAAGGGAGATAAATTAAATACTTGTAACTGCAGACCAATCACTCTCCGCGTGGTAGTTTAAGAACTAACAGCTAAAGCTTTGGGTAGCCGGTTGAGAAAAATGATTAAGGACAACATCCATCCAACCCCAACAGGTTTTATTAAAGAAATAATGTACAAGATAACATCCTGCTTATAAATGAACCACTCAAAACATTTAGACAATAAAAAAAAAATGAATTCTTAGTTTTTATTGATTTTGAAAAAACATATAGTTATGTTGACTTGAGGATGTTAGATAAATATATGGAGAAATAAACTCTGACCCTTCCTTTATGAGGTGGATAAAAAATCTTTATTCCAATGTAATTACCAGAGTAATGATAAATGGTAATCTAACCCCACCTATTTCGCTGGAAAGGTCGATGAGACAAGGATATTCTATTGCTCCCTTTCTTTTGTTATAATAATGGAACCCCTAGCGACCAACCAACGACAAAATAAAGTCCTCAAAATAATCCAGGTTTCTTCAATACCCGAGGAAGCCCTACCGATTTGTTCCTTGTTTGCCGATGATCTCTCCTTGATGGTAGATGCATCGGCTGATAACCTAGAGAAATTAAAAATATTATTTATGAATAAAATTCTGCATTTTGTCTGATATAAGGGTCAATTGGGGAACTAAGACACAGAGGTGGTAGGTACACCACTAAAATGTTCGACCTCTAGACAACCCTAATATAAATTGGCTTTCTCCACACACACCTATCAGAGTTTTATGAGTATCCTTATAAACAGATTACACACACCTATCAGAGTCTTAGGAGTATCTCTATCAGCGGAAGACAAACCTACAACAAATAATCAATGAATTTCAAAATCAGCCTTAGCAAAAATGAAAGTATGGAAAGATAAGCACACCTCTTTGATAGCAACGACATTGGTGGTGAATAATGTTAGTTTGACCTCCTTATGATAAAAATTAGCAATATGGGTATTGGATAAGAAGGGATTAAAAGTCGTACAAAGACAAATAACAACCTTCCTCCGGAGAGGAAATAACAGGTTTAAGAATGTAACTAGCAAGATCGCTAGACAAACAGTTATCCAACCGAAGGCAAAAGGAGGCTTGGGTATTTTGGACCCAGCTACACAACCAATGACCTTTTCTCTGCAATAAATTATAAGATTATTTTTAAACCCACAAACTTCGTCGCTTTCTCTGACTTGGGACTAAATCTCACGACTAGCACCGATAAACCCTAATGGAACATATCAAATAATTTGGTTGGGAAACTGGTCATGATTTCTTGCAAATGGTAGAACACAAAAATTGAGTCAAACCAAGAGTCCCCACAAGCGGGCAGTGAGATCAAATATTAAGCATACCCCATTTTGGTTTATCCTCCTCAAGATCTGAAAAAGAAGTACCCCTCTCGGAGAACACTCCCCCCAAAAGATGGAAAGAAGTCTGCCAACAATCACTATTCAATAACAGATAGATTACAGACTCCCAAAAGATCCCAGGGGAGAGGAGACACTTCATCGTATGGATTCACCATGGAGAGGGTGGGTGGAAAATGACATACTCAAAATATGAGACATTTGGTGCGAGGAAACGAAGGATTGCCCCCCCGCCTTTTAGTACTTCATTCACGCCTGCGGTATTGTAGATAATCTAGTAATGCAATAAAAACAATATTGAATTGATTCCACAAGATTGGGTTAGGTGGTCGAGGAAGAGCGCCAAGATAAAAGACAACGCCCGGGTGGGGTTTAAAGGTAATACACAATAGGCGGGGAACATGGTAATGATAGGAGATGATAAAAAAATGTTTTTTGAAACTTCACTCATTGGGATACATCAATATCATAAGAAACCCCCAACCTAACAAAACTAAATGGTATCAGGCAGATCAAGTATTCAAAATTAGAGTTTTGCAAACCAAAGATCAATGAATCGCATTTCAGCCATCGTGCTCACTAAACAAATTGACTTTGGACCCGGCCGGCTGGATCCGGTTGACCCCAATTGGAAGAAAAAAAAATGCGTCCAGAAGATATATAATCCACTTACCGGATGCTCATACCTAAACGCAATTTAAGGGACAAAGTTGAGACGAGATAGACGAAACATTTGTGCTTAGCCAAATTGAATGAGAAGTTAAGATGCATGAAATGGTTTATAAAAATTAAATCTAAGTCTGACTCAGCCAAAGTGGCCTCACTACAAATGGTAGATTGACCATCGCTGCCTACCAACAAATGACTGTCTCATTGATAGGACCGCCCTGGAGCAGAAAGGGTTGGCATGGTAAGTTTTGTGCCTCAACATTCCTTTATTGAAATATTCCACAAACCATGAAACATATCGTCTTGAGATGCCAAGGTGCCATCTGGCTATGGAAATGGTGGGATAAAATTTTGAATAATCTCAGGACCACTCAATCACGGTATTGGAACTGAAAAACATTACTACGTGAAACCTGTGAACCCCCCTTGACGGACACATTTCCTCTCAATATGTACAAAGCTGAGGTTGACATTGGGTGACCTTGACCCGGCCTGACTTTACCGAGCTCTACCCGACAATTTTAGATGGGTGTGGGTATGGCAACACTGCTGTCTTTCCCCGAACACAACGCAGCCTTATTTTGGGTGTATCGGGCCGGAAACATACATTGTATACGTTCATTTTCAGGGTGCGTTATGTTCATGGGAAGATCCGGTGCAACTAGGTGTGAAAATCTGAGGGCGGATACGGTCGCGGCAGGAAACTGTAGGGTAGGTGGGGCTGGGTGTTGAAATAAGGCCTGGGCAGTTACGGCCGGGTAAAGATTTGTGCGGGATCCAGTTACGGCTGGGTTGAGGTTTGGCGCAGGTGACCCGAGGCATGTAGGTATACTAGGCAAACCTAGTAGGTACTATTAGGGCCAGGGTGTACTATTAATTCGGCCTCACCCTTTTTTTTTGCTGGCAAGTAGTGGGACTGGTGGGGTGTGTCCCTAGTGTAAATTTTGGTCAGATCGTTTGTCTTTTCATCTTACGGCATACGTAGTATTATGGCCAAGACGTACTATTAACTTGAGCTGGCCCCTACCGTTTCATCTGAGGGAATACTCACACTACAATATTTGCTAATACGCTCTCGTCCAGTGGCTGTAATTCCTGTCAAATCCATCCAAATCTGGCTGTAGTTGTAGCCAGATGCATACAACAAAGTACCACTGCGAGTATACCCAGCCACTCGTCCATTACAGGCTTTTACATCCGCCAAAAAAATTCAAAGATGAAATTTGAAATTTTCGATGGTTGAATTCCAAGTTGCATCTTTGAATTTTTTTGATGGTCAAATCCGCTTACAGAATGTTTACGCCCAAACGTGTCTAAGGGATGTGGTTATAGATCGCTGGGTCAACAACTTCAATGTGGACTGCTCTCTTCTGATGCCGATCCGCTGGTTCGAAGACCAGAAATCAAAATCTGCGAGAATCTCTTCCCTTCAGTGGCAGATAGTGCACTGCTGCCTACCTACTAACGATTGGCTGATAGACCGCACCAACCTGGAGCAGTGGGGCCTGGCGCTGCCATGGTGTCAACGATGTCTGCGTATGTTCCCCTCGCACACGAGGGAAGAGACAACTGAGCATATTTTTATGCAATGCCCAATAGCACAACATACGTAGAGATGCTACGACCGTATTCGATGGGAGATGGGGACTGGGATCCTTTGGCTATGGTCATGGCGGGCCATTTTGGTTGGCCATTGGCCTGTGGCAGGAGAAGGCTTGGCTTTCGTTGAGAACATGTTTTGGGTGGGCAGGAGGGCCGTGATGTGGGCTCTCTGATCGCAGAGGGGTGTTTTGGCCCTAGAAAATGTGAGGATAGAAGGGGCGGAAATCGCAGAACAAATGCAGCAGCAAGCACAGCTAACACTCATACAGAAGTGGTCCAACTTAAAGTCCCAACTGGATCTTTTTACACAAATCACTGACGTCAGGAGAGCGATCACAACATTCTGTACGGGTTGGTTGGGTGGAGAAAGGGAAGGATGGGTAGCAAAGGTTACATGGGGAGGAGATAGAGTGGGTGGACAACGGGTGTTGGAAGACATGAGGGATTATAAGTTAGTGTTGAAAGACTGGACTCACGTGACACTCTCATTCTCCTTGCACACCCCCGCAGATTTCTCAGACCCCTTCCCTCCCCATAACCTCTCCTTGACGGAAATCCTGGTCTGAAGATAATTTCTTGTTTAGCTCTGGGGCAGGCAAGGACACGGAGGGAGGTTCCACTGGTGGACCCCAGTGGCTCCCTCCAGTTCTCTTGCGTGGTATTCAAAAAAAAAAAAAAGTCTTTTTTCTCAGAGTTTTCTTAGCCGAAGCCGGGTAATGGCCCCGGTGCTTTAATACTTGTGTATTTCTATATGGGACGCTGGGCCCGGTTCCCAGCACGTGCTCCTCCCCACGAATAGATTGGAGCATTTTATCAAAAAAAAAAAAAAAAAAGACATGCACAATGAGGTAGCAAGAGTGGTGCACAAGTGCTACAGCCCCGTGCACCTGGCACACACACACACACACACACATGCACACAGAGAGAGAGAGAGAGAGAGAGAGAGAGAGAGAGAGAGAGAGAGAGAGAGAGAGAGAGAGAGAGAGAGAGAGAGAGAGAGAGAGAG